TAAAAAAAAAAAAAAAAAAAAAACTTGGCTAAATTCTGGAAATTACTTTTCTAGGTTTTAGTAATGGTTTATAAATTGAGTGTTCACATATTTGAGAAGCTGAGAATGCTTGAAGTTTTGAGTAATCCTGATGTTACTGAGAAGGATTAAGTGATCCTGTTGTCCGGTTTGGTTTATGGATCTGTTTATTTTTCTTGTCAGCCTTTACTGTACCAAAGGCATAAACAGTTGTTCCTCCATTTCCTAGGAGGTTGCTTCTGCCCCCCTGAATATCAAAATCTGCAGATCCTGAAGTTTCTGACATAAAATACTGTAGTATTTCACATATCCTGTGCACATCCTCCTATATGCTTTAAATTACATGTTACTTATAATACCCCATACAGCGTCAATGCTATGCAGTTATATTGTTTAGGGAATAACGACAAGGAACAAAGTCTATACATGTTCAGTATAGACACAACCACTGGAGGCCTAACTACATTTTCTTTTTTTTTTTCTCTCTCTCTCTCTCTCTCTGTCCTTTTTTTTTTTTTTTTTTCCGAGAAAGGGTCTTGCTCTGTAGCCCACGCTGGAGTGCAGTGGTGTGGTCTCAGCTCACTTCAACCTCCACATCGTGGGCTCAAACGATCCTCCTGCTTCAGCTGCCAATTATGTGGGACAACAGGCATGTACCACCACGTGTGGCCAATTTTTGTATTTTTTGTAGAGACGGGACTTTGCCATGTTGTCCAGGCTGTTCTCAAATTCCTGGACTCAAGTGATCTGCCCACCTCAGCCTCCCAAAGTGCTGGGATTACAGGCGTGAGCCACCGTGCCTGGCTTCTAACTGCATTTTCAATCCACGGTTGAGTATAAGAATACAGAGTCTATAAATTCAGAGCTTGCATACAAGAGTAGATAGAATGCCAAGTGCTGGTGGAAATATATAAAAAATAATTTTTTGTTCATTTATGCCATACCTTGTTTTAAAAAATTCTTACAGGCCAGGCATGTTGGCTCACACCTGTATTCCTAGCACTTTGGGAAGCCAAGGCTGGAGGATTGCCTGCGCTTAGGAGTTCCATATGAGCCTGGACAACATGGCAGAATCACATCTCTACAAAAAAATACAACTACTAGCTGGGTGTGGTGTTGTGCACCTGTAGTCTCAGCTACCTGGGAGGCTGAGGCAGGAGGATTGCTTGAGCCTGGGAAGATGAGGCTGCAGTGAGCCATGTTCATGCCACTGGTACTCTAGCCTGGGTGACAAAGCAAGACCCTCTCTCAAAACAAAAACAAGAACTCCAAAGATTTGATTACAGGGACCCCATGGGTCCTCTTGGGTTCCTGGAGTGCACTGGGGTGTCTGTGGGTCCCCTTTACCTGCAGGCACAGTCTTGACAGTTTCTGCATACGCGTTTCACATACACTTTTTGCAGGGACAGTTTCGGGCTTCATCCAATTCTCAGGCAAATTGAGACCCAAGTGGGTTTTAACAACACTGATGTAGGGTAATGATTTACAATATTTTTGGATCATGGACCCCCCAACAGTTGAAAATTGAGCACACAGCTGTATGTTTGTGTGTCCCAAAATGCAATTGTGTGTGACTGTATGAATAGTTCAGACATATTATAAAACATATATAAGGATAACAGTACACATAAACCTGTCCTCCATTGAAATATTTTGGGTACACGCTCTTTGAAGAACGTTGATCAAGGTCTTACTAGGGTAAGAGTCTTTTTCTGATTGAGCACGACACACACATTTGTATTCCCTAGAATACCCTAGAGTGAGGGTCCTCTATGGGATTTTGTATTACAAGGTTTCAAGCTGTGTTGTGCTGAAGTATCAACAATCTGTACAAGAGGGCTTGTGGAAATAAGGAAGGACTTAGCAAAGTAAATTCTTAATAAATTATTAGCAGATCTGAAAATTATTTGGTTAAAAAAAATTATTTGGTATTTGGGACTTAATACTGTTTATTGTAGAAGATAAAATGAAGCTGAATTTTAAGTCAGTTGATGTTCTTTGAGGAAATGGAAAGTACTTTGAATTTTAAAAAATCCTTACTGAATGGAAATAATCAGAGCACGCAGCACTAAATGGCATCGAAATCTCAATTACTGTTACAAACTTTATGAAATGAGTTAACTCTGATTTTTCTCATTGTTTATTGAAATCAGTTTTTAAAAAGGCTAAATCTGATTTCATTGTATTTCTAGGGTGATAAAAGAAAACGTGGCTGAAGTTACATGAAGTGCAGCTAGCAGTGTAATTCAGGAGTTAAGACCAGAAGTACTGGAATCCTACCTCCTTTCAGGTCAGTCCGTATCTGTTCATTGTTTCCTAACAGAGCCTCGAGTATTCATTTCTTCCTGTTTTTTTCTAGTCAGTTCTTCCTGATTCTGTGGACTGTAATGAACGTAAGTAATGGTCCCAGTGTTTTGAGTCAGTAGAATATTTATGAACAGTTAATAGCTGAAGCTGAATCCTCTACAGGGTGGCCTGTCTTGGTAGGAAACCCTGGCATCACAGCTGGTTTCTCAGCAAGTCGAGAGGGGACTTGAAGCTTTGCCTTGCCCTCCTCTTTCCTTACTGGTGTAATGCGTATATTGATTTGTCTTCAGGTAAAACTGGACTAAGAGGGGAAATGACATATCACAGATGTCTTGGAGTGAGGAGAGAGAAAAAAAAGGTCTTTGTAAAAAAATTTCCTATTGATTTTTAATGACCTCCAAATTTAGAATTTTAAACTTGTGTTCCTTTGGAAAGTGTGTAATCTTAAAAATGGCATCAGAAAATCAGATGCATTCCTCCTCCTCTGCTTTCTACTTTTTCGGAGAAGGGTCACAATTTTTCTGTTCTTTTGTTACGTCATACATAAAATATTATTGAAACATTAATGCAGTCTTTATAACAAAATTCCCATGGGTACATTGTCATTCTAATAGATCCAGAAAGTATTAAGTGTATTTCTTTTCTAGCTTTTGTCTGGTGATACTAAACATTATTCTGTCTTCTTCTTGCTGCTGCTACAAGTGGTTCTGGGGACAGGAGTGACTGTTGCCCGAGAGCTTCTTGGAAATGAAGGATCTCCCACACAGGACACAGAGTCCTGCAAGTCGAAAAGTCCGTTTTAACTGTGAAGATTAGGTCATGTGTACTAATGAAGACGTTTCTTTTCTAGGATTTGCGCGCACTTGGTTTGAGATGATGTTTTCCATAGTTTTGAGAAATTTTACCTTTTCAAAGTATCTGACACCTCATGCAGCACAAAAATGTGACAGCTGTTTTGCATACTATACCCAGCTCTAGAAAGTTAATCTCAGGCTTTGGTTCTCAAGCCTGGGCCCTAGACCAGCAGCATCGTCATCTGGGAGCCTCAGAATGTCCATTCTCAATCACACCCTCAGCCTATGCAACAGAAATTTTGAGGATGGAAACTAGAGAATAATTTTATATCGTCTATGGAGATTTTATTGAAATTAAACTTTCAAGTTGCTGTATATGTAGGTCTCTGAAAATCCAAAGAACCAATCTCATATATGGGTAAGGAAATACATGGGAAAGGAAAAATGTGTACATAAGCTGTCTGTGGCATAGATCAAGCCTGTGGCATTCTGTGGCCTTGAGAGAGAAGGGGAGAGAGATTTTAAGCTTATCAAGTAGATTTGTCATTGGAACTTCAGGATTTTTAAATTTTGGTTAAAAAATGTGAATACTGTTACTTCAGTTAAAGAACTCCTTTTATAGATTTTACTTTCTAACAAAGTGAGTGAAAAGAAACCGGTTCACTCCAGAAACATGTAAAGAAAGTAAAATTATTAAAATGCCAAATATTTAATTCTTGTGACAGTGAATCTACTTTTATTATAAAGAGTTAAGAAATTGCCATTTCCGTGACAGTTTCCTCCTTCAACAATCTTAATATTGAACCTTGAATTTATTTAGGTCTGCCGGTCAGTGATTCTAGTCTAGCAAATTACTTTAGGACTGAAAGCTCTTGTGTCTTTAGAAAAATACACTATGGAGATTAGATCCTGTTTACTAGTGAAGACTCTGTCTCTTTTCCAGGTCAAAACATTTTGTGGGAAATATCCTGTTCGTGACCTGGAAGAAACAAGACAGAAAACAAATCTTACCTCACTTACGAATTTCTTACTCCATACAAGCAGTTCATGGATGTCTGGGCAATCATAGCACTTTCCATTTAAAAACATGCTACAGGGGCACATTTTCTGTGGTTAAAAATGATCTCTGGAATAATTGTAAACTGCAGTTTTCCTTTTTATCGAGGGTTTTGGCTTTTTATTTATAAATTAAATCAAGATGTTACCAACTCCTTGGTGTGGTGGTCTTGCCGGCTCACGCTGGGGCTCACGCTGGAAGGTAGTATGGCAGCAATGCTCAAATTCAAAATAGCCAGCAAATCCCTCCTTTCAGTGCTCTGACTGGGAACCATTAGAGGGTTTTTAAAAACCATCCCTCATAGCCCACAATTTTGGGTTAACTCTCAAAGTTGGGAATAAGCAAACTGGCATTGTTGGGAGAAAAATCGTTTTTACTGAAGCATGAACTGGCTCAGGCAAGCAAATAGCGGGAGTTGGCACAGGAAGGCGAGCGTGCTGTGGGGATGCGTGGAGGCGTCACCTTCAAAACTAAAGTGGAGCCAGGAGGACGGATGCGTCCTTGATCTTGTTCCCATTTGACTGAATTGTGAACCACTTCACTGTCTTCACAGTCTTGCCACTTACCTAATGAGGCTTTTCTGAACCTAGAAGGAGACGTCTAGAAATCCCAGCTTTGCTATGTAAGGACCATTAGCTGCAAGTCGGTGGAAGTCTATAGAAAGCAGTGTGAATTCCATAGTGGTCTTGACTTAGCAAGGATTTGGGACAAGTCTAAAACTTCAGACTTAAAGCTTTGACACGTTAACTGCATAAAATATTGAACACTTTGAACTTCTTTAGCCTTTGTCAGTTCGCGACCCAGGTTTTTCAGTCTGTTGTATGTTTCCTGCTTTTCCTTGTTTTGCTAATCATCCTCCTTGAGCTTCTCCACTGTTTTTATTCTGGGCATCCAATCCAGCCTTTCACGGTGTGTGCTTCCTCAGGCCCCTGGTTCACATGCCGAGTGCCCTGTAAGCCTCGCCGCACTAGTGTGTGCTCACCAACAGTCTGCTTCGTTTGGGAGGGTGCTTCACTCCAAAGCTACCCAGTACGACGCGCACAGTGCAGCACAAAGCGGAACTCAGGAAGTAACACCTGAGCTTCAAATAGACTTTCCTGATCATTCTGAGTAAGTCTCTCCACATTTAAGAATCAAGATAGGATTGACTTGTGAGGATAGTGTATTTTTGGACTGAAACCAAACTCCTCATGTCTAATTGTAGTTATTCAATGTTACCAGAATCCCTATTTTTGGCAGAACAGACAAAAGAATGTGTAGTGTACTTTCTACTACAGCCATTACAGCAAACTAGATCTGAGTGCTGTTGCTAGTAAATAGCCAGATTATGTTGTCCTTACCCAAGTAGACAGTGGAAAGGAACAATGGCAGAGGACATGATGCGAGTCTAGCCACAGCCATGCATCCCATGTATGGCGATCTCAGTCCTGAGATCACCTGTCCTAGGCCATGAACTGAATCCTGTCCTAGTGCTATATCCAACTTCATAGCTTTCCAGGGGAAAAGACTAGGAGATCTGTGACATGACTCGGTCACATAAGCTGTGCTGCACACACTTTACACTACACGAAGTTGCCCTGGGCCTTGACCTATAGTTCTAAACGTCATCTGTAAACCTTTTGGTAAGGTGCTGCCTGAGAACTGCTTTGTTTTTCAGAGGGATCATTGCTCAGGCTTTTTCCCCCAGTAACTTGAACTATTCGGCGATTCCTGTTTGGTTTGTATCTTAGACAGCCCTGCCTTCCTGATGAACAGTCGGTCACCTTCTCATGTGTTCCTGACACTGTTTGTTCACATCTGTAGCTGGACTCCTGCTGTCTCCTTTACTGCTCCTCACCTGCACTGCGAACTCAGATCTCCCTGTTCCCCCGGAAAGCTATGAAATCAGATATACTGCATGATTCAATTTAGTTGAAAAAGTCCAATCTCGGCCCTCACTTAGCTAGAAAACCACAAATATCTACTGTCTTTTAAAGTTTTGAGACTTGAGACATAAAAGGAAACAGACCAACATCATAGAGTTTTATTGACAAAACCATAGGAAAATGCAGTTTTAGGATGTAAAGTAAAAATGGTTCTCTGAAATATCTACACAAACGTGAATGCTGAAAAGTTTTCATTAAAATCGTATTTCATACAATTATAAACTAAGGAGGAACAAAACAATTGTCACCTTCTCCATAACCCAGCCTGAGCTCGACTGACGCTTGCCTTGAGCAGCAGGAACTCTTCCCAGACAAGGCGGCGGCTCCCACACAGCAGCCAGGCTTCGCTGTTACCTAAGCTCCATCTTCCCAGTTGGTGTTGAAAACTAGGGCACAAGATCTGGCTTTTCAAAAAAAGCGTAGAGACTCCAAGAAACTTTTTTTTTATTTTTTTTTATTTGAGACAAGGTCTCATTCTGTCACCCAGGCTGGAGTGCAGTGGCTTTTGATGGCTCCCTGCAGCCTTGACCTCCCCGGCTCAAGCAATCCTTTCACCTCAGTCTCCGAGTATCTGGGACCACAGGCGTGTTCCACCCCGTGTTACCCAGGCTGGTCTCGAACTCCTGGGTCTAAGCAATCCTCCAGCCTCAGCCTCCAAAGCACTGGGATTATAGGTGTGAGCCTGTAATATTCTTTAGGCCTCATAGTGTACAAGTGACTACAGCACATTTACAAGTGACTGCCATCTCCAGAATGTGTGGCCACTGTCTACTAGAAAAAGATCAGGCCCCCCAACCCTTTCAGGGGCAGCAAACCCACACTTTATTTGGTGCTTGGGTAACCTGAATATAACATGGCTCCCCTTGCTGTAAGCAAATGCTTTAGAGCTGTTCTTTTTCTTTTTTTTTAAAGCACAGAAGTTCACCAGGGCTAGTAGAAATTTCAAGGAGAATCGCTTGAACCCAGGAGGCGGAGGTTGCAGTGAGCTGAGATCGTGCCATTGCACTTCAGCCTGGGCAACAAGAGCAAAACTCCGTCTCCAGAAAAAACAAAGTAAGTCTTTAATTTTCTTAAATAATCCTCATATGTACTATCCACATTGTGGAAAAACTGAAATACGCAGTCTGGACACTGCACTGAGATTCCAGCATACTGGCACAGACACAGCTATGTCGCATCTTACAGACTACAACAGACAACAGGCTTAACTGCAAGAGGTTTACAGACAAACTTTACATAGATGTGCTAGGAGAATTCCAAACTACTGTCAGAGAGAGTGTAGGAATGGGTCTGAAGAGAACTCCACCCAATCCCTGATGTTTGGTCACTGCAGCTGCACTCTGTATGCACCTATTAGCAACTTAACCTGTTGAAAGAAAAGAATGCAGCTGTCAGTACAGATCTGGATTTCAATCCCTTTCTTACAAGAAAAAAACCACACATGGCCAAGATCTGCTTCTATTATTTGGCAGTATTTTCAAGTTGCTTATCAATTTACATTGTTAGATCATTGCCATTTTAATTCAAGAAATAATTCCAAGTGCTATTAATTTTCTATTACTGTTTTATTAGAGAGACTATTTTGTCCAGCTTCCTTTCATACAAGAGGTTAGGGACCGGCCTAAAGACATATATTTGGCAATTCCATACCAAGGCCTAGAACATGATTCAGATGGTTCCATCCTCTAGAGAGGCGTTCTTCTCAGCTGCATCCAAGTCCTTTTCCTGCCGCATTATTATGTCTGACACACTAGATTGAGAGAGGGTGCACCTAGCATCACTACCCTAGGGAGTGCGTCTCTCTAGGACAGGTACACCAGGATTCTTGGAATTGTTTTCTAATGCTGATAAAGTAATCTGGAGTAACAACTTGAGTACTGACACTACGTATGAAGAAAGGATTGTCACCTTGGCAGAGGGTGCTTCTGTCAACCTTATGAAGAGTTTATTGGGACCTGCAATAGGGCTGAATGAGTAAACAAAATGACTGTCCTACAATGGAAAGAGAAAAAAAAATCAGTGCTTTTTCAGACTTACACCAGAAACTATTAAAACAGCAATGATGTAAAAGAATCATAAATAAGTTTTGTTTTTTATTTCATAAGTCAAGATGCTGTGGAGGAGGCCAATCGCTTGAGCCCATAAGTTTGAGACTAGCCTGACCAACACGGTGAAACCCCATCTCTACAAAAAATACAAAAAATTAGCCGGATGTGGTGGCGTGCATCTGTGGTCCCAGGTAGTTAGGAGGCTGAGGCGGGAGGATTGCTTGTGCCTGGGAAGTCAAGGCCCCAGTGAGCTGTGATCCGCGCCACTGCACTCCAGCCTGGTCAACAGAGTGAGACCCTGTCTCAAAAAAAAAAGGTGACTTACTTTTCCCTTGATTTATTAAAAATATACAAATGACAAAATCAGTCCAGGAAACTGGATTAGAATGCACCCAGCAATATACAGTACAAGTGTTAAAATGGCTGTATCTAGGGAATTTTGCTTAATTCAGTCCAAGGAAACAATTCTAAAAGTGGCAAAGTATATACAAACAATCTTTGAGATCATTAAGAATTTACATTCAGAACAATGCTAGCCCTAAGACAGTATGGTAAGCACAATTTAAGGCAAAAAAACAAACAGGAAAAATTCCTACTGACAAAATTTAGGATAATTACGGATATTGCCTCATTCCCAACCACTATTATTGGATTATTTTCTGAATGATTATATTAAGACACAGGAATTTAAAATGAAGTCAGCTATGCTTTTGATTAGAAGAATTTACTTTTCAATAGTGAAATACAGAGTATCTTACCAGAAAAACAGGAAGTTGAAATTTATCATTCAGAACTACAGCTTGTACACTACATGGTCCACAGAGCCGAGCAATAACTTCTTTACCCAAAAAGTTTGCATGGAAGATAAACAGCAGGATGCCAGAGCCTGAAAATGGGAGATGTGTGTGAATTACTTCAAATGCAACCTTCAGCCCCCAGAGAGAGGAACACTCAACGCCAGATGGAAGCAGGCCCCTGAGCTGGACCAGGTCAGACAGGCATCACCCACTCCGCCTGGAGGCTCAGAGGAGGTTGGCCCTCTCAAAGCTTGTGTCACCTGGCATTTTTCAACCCACAGAACTCTTTTTACCTTTTGCCCAAGTAATCTCTACTGACAGTTCCTGGAAAAGACTTAAGTATGATTTTCTACACTGAAGTTATTAAACTGGTATTTTAAACATGACTGCTGAATGTGCACATGTCCCAGGGACATTCCTGTGGTGGGCACCTTTGGGTGTGGGTCTGAGTGGTTTTCCATTTTCTTCCACATACCCTTTTGCCCCTTACAATTTTTCTGATTAATACGTACCCAAAATTGGCCAGGCATGGTGGCTCATGTCTGTAATCCCAGCACTTTGGGAGGCAGAGGCGGGCAGATCACTTGAGGCCAGGAGTTCAAGACCAGCCTGGCCAACATAGTGAAACCCCCGTCTCTACTAAGAATACAAAAATTAGTTGGGTGTGGTGGCGGATACCTGTAATTCCAGCTACTCAAGAGGTTGAGGCAGGAGAATTGCTTGAACCCGGGAGGTGGAGGTTGCAGTGAGCCGAGATCGCACCACTGCACTCCAGCCTGGGGAACAGTGTGAGATTCCTTCTCAAAAAAAAAAAAAAAAAAAAAAAGCTGGTGGATGCAGACATTATACAAATGCTGAGAAAACTGCAAGTCCAGCAGCTGTAGGTGTCAGTGGGTGCTCAGGTTCACCAGGGCCAGCTCAGGGCATCGCTCGCTGGCGCTCACACCTGGCAATGCAGATGGTCCACCTAAATAATCAAAACTATAAATTATTGAACAGGCACGGTGGCTCACGCCTGTAATCCCAGCACTTTGGGAGGCTGAGGCAGGCAGATCACTTGAGGTCAGGAATTTGAGTCCAGCCTGGCCAACATGACCCCATCTCTACTAAAAATACAAAAATTGGCTGGGCGTGGCAGTGGGCGACTGTAGTTCCAGCTACTCCAGAGGCTGAGGCAGAAGAATCACTTGAACCCAGAAGGCAGAGGTTGCAATGAGCCAAGATGATGCCACTGCACTGCAGCCTGGGTGACACAGGGAGACTCCCTCTCAAAACAGCAGCAACAACAAAACCTGATAAATTATGATTCCACAATGTCAAGTTCTCTCAACACTAAGATACTACAAATGGCTCTTTCAGGGGCAGGGCTATATGTTCTTAAATATGTTTTCCAGGAATGCATACTAAGTATGAACTTGCAATAAAATAAAATATGATTTAGAATTTATTTGAAAAAGAATGAACTTGAATAAACTGGTAAATATCGACAACCAACAACAGAGTATTAGTCAGTGCTACACAGAAACGCACTACCAAGACATGGAAGGAATCTGGGAGGCCTACTGCTAAACGAAAAGAGGCCACTTAACAACACGGGGAACGGGTTTCTAAGCAAAAAAAGCCAGAGCCCAGCTGCCTCCCCTCGGCAGACGTGCTGCCTCCACATCTGCCTGGCACCGCGTGTAGAGAGGGCCAGCCGCAGTCCTGCCTGGAGAGGGGCTGGAGCAGAGGCTAGAGAGGGAAGTGGCTTCTCCATCTCTTCCACCCGGCTTTACTACAGGGCAAGACTATTTTTTCTTTTTCAAAAAGGGCAAAGACTTTACAAACAGAATTCAGGGAAAAAACATTCCAGGCTCAGAATCTTCATAACTCAGACACTGAATTTTAGTAAAACTCACTGAGCACCAGTGTGATTAGGAAGCCCTAACTTCAGTGCTCTAAACGGGGGTTAAAACAGGGATGGGGTGTCAGCCGGCGTCTCTTCAGAGTAGCTCTGCTGTTAACTGGTTTGCAGAATTATTACACATAACGGAATTTCCTTAAAGTTTGTTCAAAGAAAGGACTCTGTCTAACAATCTGTTACTATCGTGTCACGTTTCACACAGCAAAGTGTGAAGGGAGGCACCGGCTTACCTTCTGGTATGTTCTGTGGGGGTTTGTAATTGAAATCTGTTGAAAAATCTGGCCCCTCACAGAGTCGATGACATGCGATTGGAAACACTGGTTCCAGCAGAGCAAGGCGAGCTTCGAAGTAATCCTTTATTGTCTCTTCTGCTACTCTTGAAAGTCTAAGAAAAAAAAGTAGTACACGTTAACATTAATGTAGAAAAGAACCACAAGCCTGTCGAAAACCAGTGAGGCCTTCCCAGGCCAACCTTCCAAAAAAGAGCTGCAGCTCTGCCTGCCTCCTTCCCAGCTCGACTTCCACCTGGCGGCACCCGACAACCTGTGTGTCTGTTTGGTCCATCTCAGTGGAACTGAAGTTCTAAGAGGGCAAGTCTCTTCCCCCACTGCCGTTTCCATCTCCCCAGTCTTTAGAACAGTGGCTGGCACAAAGTCTATTCTTGATACATAGTTGTCTAATGAATCAGTGGAAAATCAGAAAGGGGAAGCCCTCAGTCCTGGGCAAATCAGGAAAGTGGGTCACTCTACTTCCTGGATCTATGCAGACACCCTGTGTGACCAGAGGAGTCGGGACTGCAGCCATCAGCAGCACCGCGTGCAACAGGCGCAGTCCCAGAGGCCCACCCGAGACCTGTGACATAAACACCGCCTTGAGTTCGCTACTGTCTGGTATGTGCGAGTTTGTGATGTGTGTTGCCAAAAGAGTTCTGAAGTGATAGAAATAGTAAATTGTGTTGTAAGTATGAACTTGCAATAAAATAAAATATGATTTAGAATTTATCTGAAAAAGAATGAACTTGAATAAACTGGTAAATATTGACAAGCAACAACAGAATATTAGTCAGTGCTAAACAGAAACGCCCTATCAAGACATGGAAGGAATCTGGGATGCCTACTGCTAAACGAAAGAGGCCAACCTGAAAAGGCCAAATAATGTGTGATTCCAACTGTTCTGGAAAGGGCAAAATATGAAGGCAGTAAAATTACTGGTGGTTGTCGGGGGCTGGGGGAGGGAGGGATGAAGAGGTGGAAAACAGGCTTATTCTGGCAGTGAAACTATTCTGTGTGACACTGTGATGAGGGACGGATGCATGATGTCTCTGTCCAGATCCACAGAATGTGTAACACTACGAGTGAGCCCTGATGTCAGTGCTGCGCTCCGGGGATTACGCAATGTCCCTGTAGGTTCCTCGGCTGTAGTAATGTGCCGTGGTGGGCGACTGGGATCTCGACAGTTGGGGAGGATGGAGGTGGGGAGGCTTGGAAATCTGTACCTTCCACTCAACTTTGCTGTGCTTAAAAGTGTTGCAAAAAATAAGGTCTATTAAAAAGAAAGACGAACGTTTAAAGTTTCTTTTTTTTTGGTGGGGGTACAGAGTCTTGCTCTGTCACCCGGGCTGCCGTGCAATGGTGTGATCTTGGTTCACTGCAACCTCTGCCTCCCGGGTTCAAGCGATTCTCCTGCCTCAGCCTCCTGAGTAGCTGGGATTACAGGTGCCCGCCACCACGCCTGGCTAATTTTTTTTTTTTTAGTAGAGACAGGGTTTCACCATGTTGGCCAGGCTGGTCTCAAACTCCTGACCTCAGGTGATCCACCCGCCTCGGCCTTCCAAAGTACTAGCATTACAAGCGTGAGCCACTGTGTCCGGCCAAGTTTAAATGTTTTTAAGAAAACCTTTGCTAACCAAATTAAGAGCACAGTTAATATTTAAGGAAAATACTCCCAGATAGGCCAGTGTTAAGTTTGAAATTTTCTGAGTTAAATAACTTGCAGAAAAATAATTCATATGCCATTTATTAAATCTGTGATTTACTGGAAACAAAACCATCAGGACTTGTGCTGGATGTTTTTCTGAGCAGTTACACAGAGGCCGCTCCAATGATAATGTGTCCACACGAACAGCGTATGATATGGGACTCAACACGGCACAGTCGCTTGCCACTTACGTCTCTAAATGGCTCTTCAGCAAGTCGTACACAAGCACGTTGTTAGACTGCTTCGCGAAGTGCAGGGCACTGTTCTGGTGCTTTGACAAAATGTTGCAGTCAGCTCCACATTCAATCACAAGTCGTACAATGTCTGAATTTCCTCTTTTACAGGCCTGCGTCAGGTGAAAAGGAGGAACAATTACTCAGCTGTAACCTGTGGTAACTCCCCATGGGTGCTGGTCCCTTCTCCATACATGCCTGGGCTCTGTGAAGAGGGCACAGGCCACGTTGCTTAAATGCAGGTGGGGAGTATCTTTGACTCAGGGGCCAACACAGAAATCTGTGTGCTACGTTCAGGTTAATTTCTTCAGTGAGTTTTCAGGAAATGGGCAACTTCAAAAAGGATGCTTCAGTCCCAAGACAGAACAGACACCAGGCCCTGCCTCTGCTGCCCTCTGTCCATGCTATGCTGTCCCCGCGAGCCAGCCCCTCGGCAGAGGCACCGAGATACACAAGCCTGGCCCTCACTATAAACAGCTTTGTCTTGGGAATCTCAAAAACACCTCTCAGGACCACAAAATAACCTCGAAATGTCCCCAGCTGCTGCTTTAAAGGAGATGACCCAAGCACAGATAGGAATCTGAACTGGCAAACCTACGGTGCAGCTGTGGCACAGACCGTTTCCTTGTCTGTCACTCACTAGCCACGTGACTGCAGATAAGTCCCGTAATTCTTCTGAGTCTCCCGTTTCCATTTGTGAAAAGTGGATGGGGTCCCTGTGCCGCCCTACCCTGTGAGGCAGATGCTGGGGCAGCAGTGTCACTGTACAGAGCGGCCTCCAGGAGCAGCGGCGCTCCGCCACACTACCCGTCCACCACGATGCCCGTCCACCCTCTGCCCGTCCGCCACGCTACCCGTCCACCACGCTGCCCGTCCGCCACGCTACCTGTCTACCCGCCCGCCACGCTACCCGCCCACCACGCTGCCCAGACAACGGTGTCAGCCAGCGCTTCCAGCAGGGGCGGCTCTGCCGTCAGATCAGCGGAGCCTGGGCAATGCCTGAGACCTTTCGGGTCACGCCGGGTGTCCACTGCAAAGGTGAGGGACACCATCCAGGACAGGCTTGGGACAGACCGAGTGGCCCACACTGCGGCCACGGGGAGGGTGAGGCCCTGCTGGGACCGACAGAGCCTGCAGCGACAGGTGAGGGCAGTCCCCCTGCACCTGCCCACTCTGGTAAAGGACCCATGTTCTACACTTTCTCCTCCGATGAAAGGGTTTTAATTTCTGAAAATCACTATGTTTATATCTTCTCATTCTAAAACTCAAAAAAACTTCAACATGCTAAATCCTGAAAGCAATTAAAATACAGCTTTTCAGGAACAAATACTTAAATAAACCTCATGGCAGATAAAGGCAGTCTGTTGAATTCAGACCCAGTGAAGTAAGTGCCACGTGTCCTCTCAGGGAAGAAACGCCACGTCCTCCCCGACCCACTCCAGAGCCCTCTCCCCTCTGCACCCCACTCCCAGCTCAACACAGGCACCTCGGCCTCCGCACCCCACTCCCAGCTCAACACAGGCACCTCAGCACGGCATGCAGCCCTGAGGTGCTGACCCGGGGCTCCCACTTGCCTTCTGCCTGGTGCTGGGGGAGGCGCTGCCAGCCTGAGGACCACTTCCTCCTCTGCTTCTCCCCACGCAGCTTCTTTCCTTCTATGGCCCTTTTCTCCTTTCCACTTCCCCATGGATGACCCCACTCTCAACCTACGGCTACAGTCACTGTCGCAGAGCTGGACAGCAGCAAACCTGAATCTCCAGCCCACACCCTCTCCTGAGCCTAGATTCCCCAGTGAAATGTACAGAGGTGACATCTACACGACCCAATACCCAACCCCCTCCATCTGTGCCACCTGGGCCCCCAACTTAGGAAATGGGGTGACCAGGCATCCCCTCCAGTTACCAAGCTCTGTGAATTGTACCTCTTACCAAGTGGCCAGCTCACCCACTCCATCCCTCCTGCCATGACCCAGGTACAGACTTCTGTTATTTCACATAACCTGGAGACAACAAGTCTGCAAACTGTCCTCCTCCCAATCTATGCCCCTTCTGTACTACGAAGCATTAAAACACACAAATGAAAACCCTCGAATCTGATTCCACCCTTCTTCAGCTTCAACCTTGCTGTGGCTCCCCAGGGCCCTCTGGACGCACTCCCTAAGGCTTCGCATGAGCAGGCTTCTGTGCCCGCCCACCTCTCTCATGCTCTAGATGCATCTGCATGGCTGCAGTTCAGGGTGCACCGGGTCATCTGTCACCAAGATGATGCTTTGAGAGGCCACCACTGCTCCACATGAGACAACCACAGTCCTAGCTACTCGGGAGGCTGAGGTGAGAGGCACTTGAGCTCGGGAAGCCGAGGCTGCAGTGAGTCATGATGGCGCCACTGTACTCCAGCCTGGGCAACAGGAGGAGACTGTTTATGGGCCTCGTGCGGCAGGAGGACAAGAGACAGGTGGTCCGGGCCATCAGAAGACGGTTCACGGTGAGACTGGATGCCAGGTGCCCTGCAGACCCAGGGCCTGGCTGTGCTCTTTTGCTTACTGGGGACAGAGGCTGGAATGGGCGCTGTGGGCAGGCTCCTGCTGGGCTCAATGGCTTACATGGAGCCAAGCATCCCAGGGAGGAAAGAGGACAGGTGCCCACGGGGAGCTGAGCTGGCCACTGCTGGCTGGGTGTCTGGACCTGCTATATCCTAATAGCATCCGGGGCCAGGAACCCACAATTGCTGCAGAGGAACCAATCAGACCGTGCAGTGTCCCCAAGACAAATGCCAAACGGTCGACCTTTCTTTCAAAACCTGTCTGCAAACCACGTTCCGGAACACAGGAACAAGCCCGAGGCGACAAATTCACCAACATCAAATGAGGAACACAGAGTGCACGAGCAGCTCCGTCCCACGCCCAGGCCTGCTCCTTCCAGGCCGGCAGCCTCCCTGCTGCTCCAGCTGCAGCCAGAGTGCTCCCTCCCTGCTGACTTGACTGCCGTTTAGGATACAGTGTGGCACCTGCCTCATCCACCCTACAGATTGCCAGGGTCCCCAAGGCCCAGCTCGGAGCACTTCCCTGTGACCTCATGGCTCTCTGTGCTGTTCTGATCACACCACTGCCCGCTCTGAGCTCACTGCTGCCCTGCCAGCCCGCTTCTCCTCCTCCCCTGCAAGTGGCTGGACTCCAGGACTGTCTTGATACCCACTCTGTTCTCAGGCCCCAGCACAGCGCCGGGCAGTGGCAGATGCTAACACAAGCACCTGCCAAGGTACTGAAGAAGGGACAACCCACAGGAGGGATTTACCTTCATCAGTGCGGTCTCACCATTGCTCTGCTGGACGTTGACAAAAGCTCCCGCTTCCAAAAGAATAGCCACTGTTGTTAAAAAGTTCTATGAAAAGAAAAACAAGCAAATTTAATTCCCCAAATTATTTGAAAGACAGTTTTCAGATATTGTGAAATTCTTAAGTCATCAGGAAGAATACCCAGCAGGTTCTATCACAAGTGGTTGTGGGTCACAGCCTTGCTGTGGGGCCGCGGGGGTGAGCCCTGCCCCACAGAGGCCCAGATTTCGCCACTCACTGTGCTGCCAGCAACCGCTACCGAAACGGAATCGCTAGCTCCAACCTAAGAACCTCTACATATAAATCCTTTAAAAAGATAATATATGGGAACTTTTCAACTAAATTATTAACCAAAAGGAATACTAATACCATTGGAAAAAATTTTAAATTATTTAAGATGAAAATATTAGTACTTTAATCAAGCATTTTAATATAAATTACTTCTAACGAGATAAATCACATTTTGAAATGTGATTACAATGCACTACT